ATTTTGAGCATGGCTGAGGGTCACTAACCATCCAACCCTGTTGTCTCATTGCTTTCTTGCTTTCTTGCTTGCTTCCTTGCTTCCTTGCTTCCTTGCTTCCTTGCTTCCTTGCTTCCTTGCTTCCTTGCTTCCTTGCTTCCTTGCTTCCTTGCTTCCTTGCTTGCTCGCTTCCTTGCTTCCTTGCTTGCTCGCTTGCTCGCTTGCTTGCTTGCTTGCTGACTGGGACCTTGTCGCGGCTTGTCTCCCCAGTTGTCCTCACTTGTATCCCTTCTTGTGCCCCTGCTTGCGCTTGGTGACTCGGACGCTTGCTTGCGTTTTGGCATTCCATGACATGGAAGACAAAACTACGACAAATGCGTATGGGTCAAAACTAAACCACCAGGCGATTTTTGGGTCCTACTTCATGCTGAAGTCGTTGAAAACGACCCTGCAGAATTGTAGGTGTGTTTGATGCTCCGTGACAAAGCCACGCACTCCAAGATCAATCGCCAGTCAGCAGGGATCCACTTCTTTTGCTTCTGTTTGGGGGGGCGTGTGGGGTGGGGCAGTGACCACGTGCTTCGCGCGCGGGATGACGTGTATGATGCTCAGCACAGGTACAAGTAGCCTGCATGCTTGTGGGTTGCGGTTGGTGCCTTGATCCGTGCCAAGTGTTGAGCCGGCTTCCGCAATGAGTTCACGCAACCTTGACCTCAGCAACCGCTTGTTTTTGGGAACCCCTCACCTGTTGTCACTTGTTTTCCCCCTGAGAGAGTCGACTTCATGTGACATATTTAACCGCTCTGCCAATAGAAAAAACAGCTTGGGCAAACAGAGGCCAGGTCGGCACGCGTGGCTGGTGTGGGAGACGCAGTATTAACCAGGCGAAAAATACGGAAGATGCCAAAAGGCGCGAGGTCAGATTCAACGCCTCACCCTAGTTCATGTTTCAATTTGCCAGGGCAAGCCATTTTGGGTACCTATCTTTAACCCGCGCCAAATCTTCACAACATTGGTTACCCAAATTGGTGTTTCCCCAAATTCTTTGCACCCCATTCGAGGCAATGCTCTCTGTCCTTGGCAAGGGTTGTTGGCAATTTGTGGTCCACTTGAAGCGAGCTGGCGTGCACAGTTGCTGTTGGCGGTCGCTGTTTTAATGTTTGAGCATGGCGCATCTAGTCTAAGCGTAGCACATTCCGCAAGTGATTTCCAACTATCATAGTGTTGGCACATTGGAAAAGAGTGATCCCCGACTGACCATGTCTTTTTGGGAATAGGACTCAATTTGCGGACCCGGCTTGCTTGTGCGAAATTCACCTTTGTCCGACCCCATTTTGCCAGCGACGCACCTGATCCGAGACGCAGCAATTGGGGCTGGTGTGGTTTTGGCCCAAACCCGCACTCTACGGAACACTCACGCATAAAACCGGCTTTACTTGGGCATGGGTCAAACTTAAGCCAAGCGGGCTTTCAGGATTTAGGCCTTGTTTCCGTTTGCCAGGGTTCTATTTGTGGGTACTTCTTGTTGACCGATGCCCGCTTGTTGTTGCAACCCTGCGCGCTTTTCAGGCACTTAATCTGCACGCAGGTTCAAGCTCAGCTGATCTTGCGCCTGGCTGCTGTCGCCGCCATTTGCTAGATTACCCCAGGTCACAACAGCCCCGGATTCAAGAATGGCAGCAAAGGCAGCGTCAGTTGCTTGGATGTGCTGGACGTTCTTTAGCTGCTCTGCACCTGGCTGCTGTCTCCGCCGAATTCTGGATGACCCCAGGTCACAACAACCCCGGATTCAAGAATGGCAGCAAAGGCAGCGTCAGTTCCTTGGATGTGCTGGACGTTCTTTAGCTGCTCTGCACCTGGCTGCTGTCTCCGCCGAATTCTGGATGACCCCAGGTCACAACAGCCCCAGATTCAAGCAGGGCAGCAAAAGAAGCGTCAGTTGCTTGGACGTACTGGACATTTCTCAGCCGCTCTTGCACCTGGCTGCTGTCTCCACCGCATTCCGGATCACCCCAGGTCACAACATCCCCAGATTCAAGAATGGCAGCAAAAGCAATGTTGGTTGCTTGGATGTGCTGGACACTCCTGAGCTGCTCTTGAACCTGGCTGCTGTCTCCGCCGCATTCTGGATCACCCCAGGTCACAACATGCCCAGATTCGAGAATAGCAGCAAACGCAGCGTAAGTCGCTTGGATGTGCTGCACGTTCCTCAGCTGATCTTGCACCTGGCTGCTGTCTCCGCCGCAGTCTGCAAGACCCCAGGTCACAACAGATTCCCCAGATTCTGGAAGAATGGCAGCAAAGGCATGCCCAGATTCGAGAATAGCAGCAAAAGCAGCGTCAGTCGCTTGGATGTGCTGCACGTTCCTCAGCTGGTCTTGCACCTGGCTGCTGTCTCCGCCGAATTCTGGACAACCCCAGGTCACAACATGCCCAGATTCGAGAATAGCAGCAAAAGCAGCGTCAGTCGCTTGGATGTGCTGCACGTTCCTCAGCTGGTCTTGCACCTGGCTGCTGTCTCCGCCGAATTCTGGACAACCCCAGGTCACAACATGCCCAGATTCGAGAATAGCAGCAAAAGCAGCGTCAGTCGCTTGGATGTGCTGCACGTTCCTCAGCTGGTCTTGCACCTGGCTGCTGTCTCCGCCGAATTCTGGACAACCCCAGGTCACAACATGCCCAGATTCGAGAATAGCAGCAAAAGCAGCGTCAGTCGCTTGGATGTGCTGCACGTTCCTCAGCTGATCTTGCACCTGGCTGCTGTCTCCGCCGCGTCCTGGATGACCCCAGGTCACAACATGCCCAGATTCGAGAATGGCAGCAAAAGCAGCGTCGGTTGCTTGGATGGTCTGGACGTTCCTCAGCTGCTCTTGCACTTGGCTGCTGTCTCCGCCGAATTCTGGACAACCCCAGGTCACAACAGCCCCAGATTGGAGAATGGCAGCAAACGCAGCGTAAGTCGCTTGGATGTGCTGGACGTTCTTCAGCTGCTCTTGCACCTGGCTGCTGAATCCGCCGCAGTCTGCACGACCCCAGGTCACAACAGCCCCAGATTCAAGAATGGCCGCAAAAGCAAACTGATTTGCTTGGATTTGCAGGACGTTCCTCAGATGCTCTTGCAGCTGGCTGCTGTCTCCACCATATTGTGAATCACCCCAGCTCACAACCTCCACCTGGAAGCCATGCCAAGCGAACGCGCTGCCTGTGGCAGCCAGTTTGCCAAGCTGCACAACCGCGGTCACTAAGTCCCCATCTCGCAACCCGGCCTCTGACAGCGTGGCTGTCGAATCGAGCTGCCGGCCTGTCGCAATGAGCTTCAAGCGACGCTTGAAATGCTGCTGCGCCGCAGCCTTGAGCTCGCTGACGGACCACGACGGTGAGACTTCTATGGAGCAGCCATCTCCACCGGGCAAGTGAACATCCAGCTTCATGGCGCAGGAATCTTTTCTGGCGTATGCACACTGCCAAACACGAATCTGAGACACGGAAACATGTCGATGTGATTCGTTTGGGGGTCTCTTTGAGTGGCTCCGTAAACCATGCATATGTGTCTTGAACCACTTCAATATGACTTTGCGTCGTGAGGACATCCTGCAACCTGACCTGAAGAAAGGTGGATCCCAGCTTTCCTGGTGAGCCATGTCCAAAACGGTGCAAAGGAGCTTGCCGCAGCATGCCCAAAACTCAGGATGAGGATTTACAGGATGGGATTGTTCCTCACTACCCTCCACTCAGGTTTTGGCTTTGCCCCCCGATGAAAAATACGAGCAACATCTTGGTCCGTCTTTTCAGGTATGATGTCGATCCTTTACTAAAAACGGAGGTATTGAGCATGGAAAACCGATCGACTAAAAAGCACCCTTTGGCATTTGGAGTGGTTGAAACCTCAACCCCATGATTTAGATATGGCTTAAATGGGAATGGGTCTTGGGTAAAAGGAAGCTAACCTTTAACGGGGGGCGAAGCGCTCGGTGCTGGAGCAGCCAAACGCTATCATCGCTATCAAAAGAATTAGAGCCCTGATATCTCTTTCTATCTCTAAGACACTTTAATGTTAGTATATTTGGTTTCTTTGTGGTGTGAATGATATGAACGAAGCCGTCCTCAGAATCCTGGCTTTTGGACTTTGGGTTGGTGGATTCCATCCTCAGATGCCCAGTGGATTTCCATGGGGCAAAAAAGGATCGGCAGCCGTGTTTTTTGGTTGCTTGACTTTACAGGGGAACCCTTCCCCAAAAAAACAGTTGAAGAAAGAGCACCACTGGGCAACTGGGCATCTAAAGTGGGGAAACCACCAAACAAAGGAAGGTCGAGTGGCTTGGAGTGCGCGTCGACTCCCTTTGAGGTCTTCTGTCGATTCAAAGTCCCCGCGAGTCTGGTCCACAGCCCTTTCCCCTAGACTCAGTTGATTAACTGAGCCATGCTCAAAATTACGACTGTGTGGGGTTCAGTTGGTACCCTTAAATCAATGGTTGTGTCCATATATTGTTGCCTAAGGTGTCGATCAGGACGCTGGCTCCCCTAGTGTGGAGCCAACCTATGAGGGAAAAAGCTCGCCCCCAATGAACTGGAAGTCCAAGGAACTGGGGAAATGGGGGTTTACCGCGGATTCATGCTGACCCTTTTTGCCTTTCAGACACCCATATGCGTGGCAACTTTGGCCAACCTCATGGATTGGTCCTGGATTGGTCCTGCAAAAAAAGTACAATGTGTGTTTGTTAAAGAGCAAAAGTCGTGTTCCAATGGAAACATTGTGAAACTGACAGGGGGTCTGCCGACATGAGTTTGCGGCACCGCCAAATCCTTGTGCCAAAATGGCACATCTCTAAATACAGTTTGTTCAAGGGACGCCTTCGTTTTGAAGGGTGTTTGGTCATAAAAGAATCCTTCGGTTCGAAAAGACACCTTCCTCTTGGTGCTTTTGTTTACCCTATCTCTCTCCAACAATACATATCCCCTCAAACAAAACTTGTTCGTGGTACCTCACATCCTTCGAGGGGAGCCACCAATCTGCTGCGCGCCTGGCTGCGCCTTTGTTGTTGGATGACGTGGTCCTGGTCGTCCATGGCGCTGCAGCCCTTTAAATCCAAAACAGCCAGAAATCAAGTGGACAAATGATGTCAACGGACAGGGGGCAAGGTGTCCTCCATTGTTCGTTGTAACTTGTTTGAAGGACAAATCCAGTGACCCCTGGTGGGGATAAAGTTGCACATAGTGAGAAGTAGCCCGTGATACCAAATTGGATGATTCCCATGACTATGTTCTTGGTATCACCGCAAATGGCCCCCCACATCCGATGCCTAAATCATGAAATTGCATCCAAGAGCTGTACACAAAGCAATGGTGCGAAGACCTAAAGTCTGCGAGGAGCCCAGCGAAGGATACCAGGAAAGATCTGCGGCGTATCAAAACACATCTTTGACCTATCATTGTAGAACTTTGTTCAGTGGAACAAATATTGTACTCCCTCCTCCCTGCCCCCTGCCCGCTCTTTGAGAGACGAACGTCTCCTGCTTATTTGGGTGTGTCTCAAAATTGAAGCGATCTTGCTGGATGGTCTGAAAGGAAAACAACCAGCGAATCAACCACCAGGAGGCCTCCCAATCATGGTTATGCAAAACAATCCCTTCTCTGAAGCCAACATAAGCCATCCGAAAGTGGCCTCAAAACCTTGCCCAAACTTTGCCTCCCCCGCCCCCGCCAAAAAAAAAAAGAAGGTTAATGGTGTGCTGGTGAAAGAGCAACCGAAGAAAAACTAAAGCTTGGCCCACATCTGGCGTACACCGGACATATGTTCAGATTCTGTTGCATATTCAGTCTACGCGAGAGTATAACAACACAAACACAGTGAGGGTAGTTCCGTCTGGCATTGGTGTGTTTGCCCACGACACGGCCCTTATGTGAATTACTCAGCCGAGACTCCCTTGGATTTCCAGGCGGATGGCTCTTCCAGGATGCCTTCTCTTCAGTGTCCTATGGCGAATGCATCAGAAGGGTGTCCGTTTAGGCCAGCTGAAGCGGAAACCCTGAAACCAGTTCTGTCAGGACTCTGGATCTGTTAAGAATTTTCAAGGTTAGACACTGCACCGTTTTTGTCTGTGTGGTTCCTTTTTTGAGGGTACCCATGCGGACAGGTTGCGTTGGGGGGCTCACCCCCACATTCCCTCCCTTCATGTTTTTTGTTTTGTTTTTTCGATATTGGCGGGATGCACCAATTTTTGCTTGGCCCTTTGAGTGGCAAAGGAACCTTCGGGGCTGGCGCCAGTCGGAGAGGCCAACCCCGTTGGGTCAAAGGGAGACGAGTCAAGCAGAGTCTACCGGGGAGCTTCCAATGGGCCTGCGTGTTGCGGGGGACCTGCTTTAAAATGGTGGTGTCCCTTAGACACCACCAAAAAGGGCACGGGACCCCCAAAAAAGACACTCCCATATCTCGTCCACTTCGCAAAAACGTCCTATCTGTTCGAATGGCTTCGTGAATTTGGACCCTTGAATCGATGAAGGCCGCTGTCGCAACTTCAACTCCCCAACTGGCCTATGTTGTCCGAAACTTGCAGCTTCTTTGGGGACTCGGAAAAAACAAGTGAGGTCCATACAGTCGAAGATTCAAGCGGGGTTAGGGAAATCTTGAGATTGCTCCTTGAAACACCAGGGTCACCTTTTTGTTGGCTACTTCGAAAGAGAAACCCAGCCCCCCAAAAAAGGAAAAAGGAAACCAGTGGCAACACAAAGGGAGCAACAATTGGTGCTCCAGAAGGAAAAAGGGAAACCAGTGCCAACAAAAAGTGAACAAAATGTGGATACTGACTAGAATCAGACGGACCCACCTGCTGCCAGCTGGTGGCAAAGCTTCGAGTCATTTTCTCAAAGGCTGCAAAAGTGAATCCATTGCTGCCAGAGTTGAAACAAGCAGCATGTCCTTTGATTCATTAACAGCCACTTTCCAATTTCCGCTCATTGGCGCTTGCACGAACCGCGCGAGAGAAGGGAACCGAAAGTTCCAGAGTTGAGGGGGAAAAAATATATCAAACACATGTCCAAATGATTCATTCATAGCCACTTTCCCCCCAACCCGGTTCCAAGGGCAAAAAACCACTGGACCTTACTCCGAGGGGCCGAAGCTTGTCCACCGCCTGGCAGTAGCTGTCTGCCGCGAGGACTGGCGGAGCTTTCGGAGAGGAGCGACTCACTCGTCCGTTTTGGGGGGTGCCAAGGTGGTTTGTGGTTTTAAAGGGAAACCAACAAAAAAACCACCATTTGGGGGAGGGGGGGGGGCCCGTCTTTGTTCTTGGGGGGGTGCGGGGGGTACCAACCTGGAGATTCATTTTCCATGAATTTCCTGGTAGTTCTCGGCTTTGACTTGCTTTTCGCAAATCTCGATGTTTTTTTCGTGAAGTCGCCTAAAACTACTAAAGCTCCTATATTTTTGTGAGATTTCAGAATTGGTACGGTTTCACGTCTTCCCCGCCCAGAATTACCCGCAAAACGCCCGCAAAAAGCCCGCAAACGCGCGCAAAACCCCGCAAACGCCCGCAAATCAGAAAAAGACGCTTTTTGGGCTCGGGGGTCGCGCAAAACTCCTAGAAACCACTTAGAACGCCCAACATGCCCAAAACTACCAGAAAACTAAAACGCCTAGGAAAAGGCCGGAGAATGAATCTCCAGGAAGGTGTTTTGTGGTTGCAAAGGAAAACCAGCATAAAAGCCAGCGTTTTGGAGGGGTCCCCTAAAGACACGCCCAAATAGTAAGCCCAGGTCACATCCCCTACTGTGGAACCCTTCAGGAACCCTGTCCGAAAAGCACTCCGAAGTACTCCGCGTCCGGCACCCGAAGCTACTATCCCCAAACCGAATGGCATGCAACGTGAGTAACAAAAACATGTTTCGTCGAGCTCGGTTTGCCCTTGGTCCAGAGCAATACACGAAAAACAAAGCAGAAGTAAATCATCCAAAGGTGCAATGATCTGAACAGATCCTGACAAACCCAACAGCAACCAAGCACCTGGGCCTGACTTGCGAACCGAATGAGAAAATAGCCATTCATGTTGGCGGGGGGGGGGGGACCTCGCTGTCCGAAATCAAGATGGGTTCTCGCGCACAGAGCAGCCTATATTCGCCGATGTGAAATTGCAGACATGGCTTGTAGCGGCAGATTGCAACGTGATCAAAGTCTGCACCCCCTGGATGCCAAAAGGGGAGCCACCTCTTGCGGCATGACCCTAAAACGTGAGCCCTTTGTGGCCCTTGCGTTCGGCTTTCTCATAGCCGAGCCGCATCACATGATCCCGGAGCGTCACTCCGGGCTGCACCTTCGTGACGAGGTCCGCGTCGTTGACCGTGCCCTTCACCTTGTCAACCACCAGCAGCTTCTCGCAGACCCTCATCTGAAGCCAGAGGTATCTGGCTTGCACATGCCTTGTGCGCCCAACTCCTCGACGCTCAGACATCGCCTTTGCCGCACTGCTGTCTACCTTCAAGGTCAAAGGCTTGATCGCCCCCGTCCAAAACTCCGCCACGCCCCGCATGAACTCGCCCAGCGTGGCCGTCCTGCACATCCCATAGTACTCCGCCTCCGAGGACGACAGGGCCACCACCTTCTGTGTCGTCCCCTTCACCATCAGCGTGTGCTCGCCGTTCTTCACCACCGATCCCGTAGGTACTCGCCCATCTGCTCCACACTCAGCTCCGCCGACTGGTCCACGATGACCATGTCCTTTGCCACCTGCTTCTCCTCGGGCATGTCCACGCCCTTCGTCTTGTCGTTGAACCCGAACGCCTTCAGCAAGATCTCCGCGTGTCTTGCGTCCGCCTCCACCTCCAGCTTCCATGCCGCTCCATCCGGCACATACCTGATGAGCCGATTCAGGAAGAACAGCTCCTTGTCATCTCCAGGGCTGTCCCCCATCTTCGCCTCCCACCTCGCCGTGTAGCGGGTGTTGAGGATCTTGTCCAGCTCAATCAGCTCCTCATCCGCCGCCGTTGCCATGAAATCATCTCCGTGCACCAGCCCACATAGGTCCATGCCCTCGATCTTGAACAGGGCAGGACACAGCGGGCTGAACTCAGCTCCCTTCTCGCAAAGCCAATTCGAGTAGTCCTTCTGGAAGATGTGGCTTGCGTCCTCCACCCTCAGCTGCTCCTCCGGCCGCTTCGCCTTCTTGACCTCCTTGGTCACCAGCCTGCTCCTTACCTTGACAGCTTGGCTGTCTCCTTTGTTGACGTCCAGCCACTTCAACTGCAGGGGCTTAAAGCCTCTCTCCTGGCAGATGCTCATCGGCACCCGTTCGTAGACCTCCTCCTTGGCCAACCAGTCGATCTCTTCCTTCCTGGCAGCCTTCACCTTCTCGACAGGCAGCTCCGTGCCTGTCACATCATCCACATACTTCTCAAACTCCTTCTGGTAGAAGTCCTCCTGCTCCACGTACTCATCGGGCGAAGGCCCAGTCAGCTTCTCCTCCAAACCGCTGATCTGCTTCCTGGCCCTCAGCTCTTCTCTCAAACCCCTCAGGATTTCTTCCCAATGAGGTGCGTGTGGCGATGCACCTCTCCTTTAGCCAGCAAATTCTCACACTGGCCCTCCAACTCCTTTGCAACGCGCTCCAAGTTGGTCATCCATCTCGTCTCCTTCCGGACGTGTAGTAGCTCACCGTCCGGGTTTTCCATCTTCATGCCAAACCGACACATCGGGCTTGTGACCAGCCATGTGCCTGGCCTCTCCAACATTGCCTGGACCTCCGGCATACTCCAGCTCGTCGATCTCCTTGGGTGCTCATGCAAATACACCCCGCCCTGGTCTGCCTGCTGCTTGCGCTCATCGCCTTTCTCACACGGGCCTTCCCGAGCTCCTCTTCCTCCAGCACCACCTTTGGATCCCGCTTCGGATTGGTGATATTCCGTAGCGGGCTGAACGTTGTGCACGGCGGGGAGCTCGTAACCAACCAAGGCTCCTCATGCCGAATCATTTCCCGCACGAGCTCATAGTCCTCCTCCCGGTCCAGGTCCCATCTCTCTTCACCTCCTGGCTTCATCTCATCCAGGTCCACCGCAGCTCCGTCCCGGAAGCCAAACCTGGCCAATTCCTTCGTCAGCCGTTCCGGGCTGAACACCTCGATGAGGTCCAACGCTCCCAGCTCCTTCACAATGCTCGCCGCCTCATCGCTCTTCATTTTCTGCCCTAGCTCCCTTTCCGCCTCCATCGACCGAGCTCCTGCTGGACCGGCCTCTTCCTCTTCGGCTTCCCGCAAGAGATCCTCTATGTCCCTCGCACCGCCTTCTCCTCCCTTCCTCTTGGGAGACTCACCACTGCCGGGCCCTCTGCTCGAGCTCGACGGCTCTTGCGTTGCCTCTCCTGCTGCGGCATCTCCTCTGCTCCCATCGATCTCAACCTCGGCCACTCGCTTCCCGGCTCTCTGCCGGTCCTCCCGTAGATCCTCCTCTCGGGCCTTCTTCCTTACCTGCTCCTCCTTCTCCTCTTCGTCAGCCTTCTTCTTGAAGATCCGCGACCTGCACTCCTCATTGTGCCTCACCTGCTGAAATGGCTTGCCCCGCACCAAGGATATGCACCCTTCACACCCCGGGGTCTTGCCATACTTCTCCACCATGGCCTTCCGCACCGTCCGTGCCTTACCATGTCCTCCGTCTGCCTCTTGGCCTCCAGGTCCTGGCGGGCTAGCCGTGGCCTCCTCCGCCACAGCCTCCAGCGCCCCTCCCCCGGCCCGGGGAGCCCGCTCATGACCACCACCTGCGGGCCTTGGATCTGCTGTGGCTGCTGCTGTTGCTGCTCCTCCAACGGGTTGACATAGTACTTCACGTCCCAAGGAACTCCCCGCAAGCCTTCCTCCAGCTTCAGCCACTTGTCTCCTTCCGCCACCGTGTGGTGGCCAGTCCCAACCACAACTCCATTTGCCGTCATGACCAGCACCGACCCAAACCTGTTGCGGGTGCCCAAGTACCGGCCTGCCACCATTCGCGAAAGGTCTCCTCTCCGGCCTTTCCCTGCCGGCTTCACCAGAATCCTCTCCCCGAACTCCGGCATCGGCTTTGTCCATTTCTTCCCGGTTCTTCTCTCCTCTGGTGTGCGCCCATCCGCACCGACCTTGAACCGGTTCATCTGCTCGGCTGCAAACCTCGGAGCCCAGAGCGTCAGCGGATGTCCTTCGGGCACTCCTCCTTGCACCTTCCTGGACCACCCAGTGGTACAGAAAAAAGTGCTCGACCCCTTGTTTGGTACACTTTTTGGGGGAGTGGTACGCTTTTTTGCGCGAACAGGTCAAACGAGCGCTTTTTTAAAACGAGCGCTTTTTTCTCGGCGTGTGTTAGTTTTTCCCATTTTTCGTAAAGCGGCGAGAAAAGGCAGGGTTCCGCACTGCGCGGCCACTTTAGGGTCGATTTTGCTGACGATTGCCTTGCGGTCAAGCGTGCTCTGGTTAGGCGCCCGCACGACACTTGAATCGGGCTGCAAGTCTCCAGCTCGGCTTTGCTGTCCGCACCCTGGTGATTCGGCAGCTGTCAGCCAATTGTAGCGGCCCTGCCAACCTCAGCTGGCTTGGCAGTCTGAAGGAAGCGCGCGTGGCAGCCCAAGCTGCAAGCCTGCAGACTTGTTGGCTAGGCTTTCAGGTTTCTGGCAGCACTCGGTATGTGCGGGAGCTCCAAGTTCGAGGCTGACAGGCTGACAGTTTCCAAGCTGATGGCAAGCATGAGCGTTGGAAAACGCCAGTCTGATAGCTACTATGTGGAGACCCAGCTTGGGCTTGGTAGCTGCTGGAAGCTGCCATGTCTGGAAACTGGCGGCTGCCACGCCACACAGTGGCACCTGCCAGGCTTGCAAGATTGGAAGCTGCCAGCAGAGCAATTGTGTCAGTTTGGAAGCTGCCAGCCCGGCATCTGTTATTTGAAAGCAAGCCTAGCAGCTGCCAGTCGCAGCTGCTGGCAGGCTCAGCTTTGCAGCCTGCAAGTCAACCTGGAAGCTGGCTGGCAGGCAGCTTCTAGATTTGTAGTAGCAGCACCAAGCAGATTTGCAAATGCGAGCAGCCGGCTTCGTGGCTGGCAACATGCGAGGCGTTTGGATGGCGGCTGCCAGACACTTCAATTGCAACTTTAAAGCAGCAGGCTTCTAGCCCCTGACAAAGGGAAATTGCGCTTGCCACAGATGTCAACATG